ATCACAGTTTAAATAAATCATTTAGAAATTTACTAACGTCTTCCCTCTCCTTATGTGAAGCTGCATGGAATGAGATAAAATCTAGCACCTTTTCATCTGCTGTGTCCCACACCCAAGTAAATTGCAGTTATTTCTGAGGGTGGGTCTAGAAAGATTCTTTCCACAGGGTGTGTGGGTGTGTAGAGATTCTGTGTCTCTAGTGGGAGTTTCTTGGGCTAGGGAGGGAGCAGCTGTGAAGGCCCGAGTTCTGATCTGAAGTAAACTCAGAGCTGGAACGGGAGGCCTCAGTTCCCTGAGAACTTGGATGTTCCTCTGCAGTTATTCCTATCATGAGACTGACAGTTCCTTGAACCCTATTAAACGTACCTAAGTAAGCTTGTATAACAAGCTGCATAGCTAATAAAGTTGTAAGTAAAGAACAGAGCGTTTTGATAGGCATGGAAGGACAGATACGGTTCCAAAGAGGGCTGAGCCCTGGGAACACGAAGGTACTGCAAATATCATAAAAGTACTGTAAACACCATGATGAGATAATTTGGCTTGAGAAGAACATTTTCTCTTTCTCTTGTACTATAAACAAGGTTGCTTCTTAGAATAAAGCATGCACTGGTTCACATGCCTCTGCATCCCCTGTGTCCTGATTTCTTCTGCATCTATACCTCAGGGCCCCCAAGCCCCTCAGGCTTGAATTGTTGGTCACTGAACCGGACAAGCAGCCTTCCTAAAAGGTGGAGGAATGTGGACCAGTGTGGGCACTGCCTTTGGGTGTAGCAGGCCCTATCTGGGGGAGAGGGGGAGGAACACGACACGACATACGGATGGACAGATGGATGGACACTGGCTCCAGGGCTAAGGGAAGCCTCCTCCTCCTCCTCCATCTCGCCTAGAAACTGGGGTCCCTTCCTCCACCTTCTTTGTTCCTGTTTCAGGTCCCTCTCTATCTGGCTCCTGGTCACATGTAGGAATTCCTCACAGCAGGAGCTTGGCTGCAATCTTCAGCCAGTTCTGGTTCCTTCTTTCCTTGGTCTCTTAAGAGCCCCCTCCTGCAGCTGGGAGTCCCAGCTTAACCCGGCTCAGCACACTGCCAAGATTTCCAGACATCCCTTGTGTATTTATCAGCCAAATGCTCTGTGGTGGGCACTGGTCACCTGGTCTGCATTAGGTTGGACTGGCTCCCCAAGAAGAGAAGCCATGGGTCCTGTTTCTGGAAGGGGGTCTCTTCAGGGTAGTACCCATGATGTCCTTCTTAACATGGGGGACCCCTGATGGCCGAGTCCAGGAAACTTTCCATGGTGTTTCATCAGCCTGGGAGAAGCTAAGGGCCCATCTTTTTTTTTTTTTTTTTACCTCCAAGAGGATTCAGAGCTTTCCCTCCAAGAATCCCTACCTGTGGAAGGAAGGGATCTCCCCCACTCGCCCTGGACTCCCTGAGGACAAGTCTTGCAGATTCTCCCAGAAAAACGATCAGCTGGAAGGACAGACTGACGATTCTCCACTGGGCATGGGGTCCCGGGGTCCGGAGCCCTCTCCAGGCCTCTCAGTTTCGGACCTGCCTTCCTGCCAGACTCTGCAGGAGCCTCCGCGCCGTCCCCTTCACCTCTTTGTTCCGCAGCGTGTAGATGAGGAGGTTGAGCGCGGGTGTGACCACGGTGTAGAAGAGCGAGGCGAACTTGCCACGGCCCTGCTCGTAGCTGTGCATGGGTCGCAGGTAGGCGTAGGAGGCGGAGCCGTAGAACAGGCAGACGGCTGTCAGGTGCTAGCGACAGGTGCCCGCCGCTTTCCGCAGCCCCGCGTGGGATTGCGTGCCCCAGACGGCGTGGCCCACCGCGGCGTAGGAGGCCAGGATGACCGCGGACGGCACCAGCAGGATGACCGCGCGTGCCGCGAACGTCCGGCTCTCGGTAGCGCTGCGGCCCCCGCGGCAGGCCAGCTGCAGCAGTGCGGACAGCTCACGGATGAAGTGGTCCAGCCGGCGGGGCGCGCACAGAGGCCGCGGGGCCAGCGGGGCCGTCTGCGCCGCAGAGTTGGCGAGGCGGCCCAGCCAGGAGGCGCTGGCCAGCGCGCGGCACAGGCGCGGGGAGGCGAGCGCGGCGTAGCGGAGCGGGCGGCACACAGCGGCCGCGCGGTCCAGGACCATCACAGCCAGCAGCGCGCAGTCGGCGGAGCCCAGCGCCAGCGAGGCGCACAGCTGCAGCATGCACGCGCAGGCCGGCCAGCAGCGGCGGTACCACGCTGGTGGTGAAGCCCGCGTCCACCAGGGCCAGGTGATAGGAAATAGTACACAGGCGTGTGCGGGCGCGGGCCGCGCACCGCCAGCAGCACCAGCGCCGCGTTGCCGGTCAGCGTTAGGAGGTAGCAGAGCAGGACCGGTGCGAAGAGGACCGGCTGCAGGGACGGCCAGTCGGAGAAACCCAGCAGCAGGAAGCGCTCCTCCGAGCTGTGGTTGAGCTGGGAGAGGGTGAAATGCTAGCTTGGTGTGGTGGCGCCTGCCTTGAATCCCAGCACAGCAGGTGCATGAGGGTCTCTGTGAGTTCAAGGACAGCCTGGTGCACATAGCGAGTTCCAGGCCAGCCAGGGCTACATAGTGGGAAACGGTCTTTTAAAAAAAGGAGTTTGGGGACTGGAGAGGTGGCTCAGCGGTTATTGCAGAGGACCGGGGTTCGGTTCCCAGCACCCACATGACAGTTAACAACTATCCATGATGCCAGTTCCAGGCGATCCGATACCCTCTTCTGGCCTCCGCCGGTGTACTTACCTGCGAGCAATACACTCATGCACGTAAAATAAAAAATTAAATTAATAAATAATAAGAAAGGAACTTAATGCTATCCATGACAAGCAAATCCTGGAATGTGAGATGGACAGGGGAAGAGATAAAAGCACATAAAGTAATGTAACTTATCTGAACCCTTAACTCAGTGAATATCCACATGCCGGTATTCCTTCATTTGTGTTCCCAAGATCCTTTGAGGCAGACAGAGCCAGACACAAAGCCCCTGTCTTACCAGTCCTGGACTTAGAAAGTCAAGTTGTCCTAAGCACATCTCTAATCAGCCTTATTTCACCGTCAGCTTTTCGCTGATTCTCTGCTCTGGTTGCACTTAGCAGCCTCCAAGGAAGAAAGGCAGAGTCCCTCCCAATGAAACTCTGCAGATTTGGGGGGACAGTCCCACTCAGCCTCCTTTCTCCACTTGCCTTGGAAGTGTGCAGTGTCTAAAGGTCCCAGCTGACTCAGGATGTATCAGCTTGTTACCTTCTTTGTTTTAGGTGCTCCTTTTTATTTCTGCGACTGTTAGAAAAATGAGGCCAGTGGAATAGACTGACTGTGATAACTGCAGCCGATCAAATATTTCCTTTTCTTTGCCTTTACCCTGTCCTTCCCTCCCTCCCTCCCTCCCTCCCTCCTTCCCTACCTTCCATTTGACAGGGTCTTATGTGGCCCATGCTGGCCTTGATTTCTCTATGTAGCAGAGGATGACCTTGAACTCCTGATCCCCTTGCCTGCACCTCCAGAGTGCCGAGATTTGCAGGTGTGTGCCGCCAGGCCCAGCCTCCAATCAAAGGTTTTTACTTCTATGTTCATCCTATAAAAACCTCCCCTTTGTGTTCCCTTTGTGGCTTACTAAACTACATCTACTTGATTCATGAATAGCTGTTTGCACAAATGAACTCTTTAAAATTGTATTGTGCCTCTGTTTTTTCCATTGGACTGAAAGTTGACTACAAAGCTTTGTGCATGCAAAGCATGTGCTTAACACGGAGCTATTCTCTCACCTGCGAATTTGGTTTTGTGTGTGTGTTTTCGGGGGTGTCTTTTTAAGACAGTGTCTCCCTATGGTCCTAGCTGGCCTGGAACTCACTATGTAGACCAGGACTTGATCTCATAGAGATCCACCTGCCTTTGCCTCCTGAGTGCTGAGATTAAAAGAGTGTGCCACCGTGCTTGACTGGTTTGCTTTTGTTTGTTTGTTTTGTTTTGTTGGGTTTTTTTTTTTTTTAGGTCTTTTTGAGACAGGATCTCCTGTAGCCCCAGCTGGCCTTAACTTGCTATGTAGACCAGGCTGGTTTTGAACTTACAGAGATCTGCTTGCCTTTGCCTCCCAAGTACTGGGACTAAAGGCACGTGCCGCCACATCTGGCTGGTGTTTTTTTTTTGTTTTTTTTTTGTTTTTTTTTTTTAACACAAGTTGTACAACTTGCAATTGCTGTCTAGTTTGTAGAGGCTGTTTTTAGTACACACAGCCCTTCTGCTGTGTGATACTCTGGGCCACCTCAGGCTAGCCTGGTGCAGGAAAGAGTGCTTCCTGTTAGACTAGAAGAAAGAAGGCCTTGGTCCCAGCTAACATGGCGGCCTCCAGCTGGTTATGGAGATGTAGAAATCATGTCATGAGCCTCTGCCTCAGTTTTGTTAAATGTAAATGGAGCAGTTTGAACTGGATGACTTTTTGGGTTCTTGTCTTAGCCCTGCTTTACTGTCAATCATTTCTCAAACAAATGTAAAGGTAATGCAAGGAAAAAAGAGAACCTTCTTCTCAAGGTCTTTTGACTCTTGGCATTGATGTGAATCCAGTATCTTATGGTGTAGAAACCATGGTAATTGATGGGGTGGATAAAACTCACACAGAAATCTCTCTGTGTAAGTTTCCCATCAGGAATCCTCGCATAGATACTCATAAACACCACACTTATTGCTTTAAATTTAAAGATCACAGTCCTCTAGGCCAGGATGGCTCAGCAGGTAGGGATGCTTGCTGCCTGATGACCTGAGATCCATCTCTGGGACCCAAGAAATGGAAGGAGAGAACTGACTCCTGCAAGGTGTCCTCTGACTTTCACATGCATGCCCCAAACCAATGAATAAATGCAATAAAAAGATCACAGTCTTGTAATTTTTTTTTCAGAAGGTAATTCCCCCCTTGAGGTTGGCAGGAGTTCCTTCCCCAAACTGAGGAGCGATTGGCAATTGATAGTTGCTGGTCTGGTGAGAATTAGTTTTCTTTAAGGGTGTGGTCCCTGGTAGGCTGAAATTGAAATTGCTCCAGGGTATGGCCACACACCCAAGGATATATGGGCAGCACAAATTTGACTCCATGGGTTAAAAAAACCAAAAAGAGGAGACAGAGTTGGATGAGTAGGGGAGGGGTATGGATCTGGGAGGAGTTGGGGGGGGCAAATAGGATCAAAATACATGGCAGAAAATTTTCAAAGAATTAATAAAAATATTCAAAAAGAGAAAAACCCTCCCTTTCCCAATAAAACAACCTGCTTATAAGGTCGTTTCATTTTATCCACTTTAGACAGAACAAATTCAAGGTGATTCATAGCACGTGTTCAGGAGCCAGACTCCTTAGGTTTGAGTGTCGACGCTGCTGATTCCTAGCTGAGCAACTGTGGGCATGTGCTTAACCTCTCTGTGCCCCAGTTTCCTCATATGAAAGCGGATGTGGGTAATGGGAGTTAAGTATGCAATGCAGTTCCAACAGTGCCTGGCACCCAGTAGGTGAGTGGTTAACTGCGTATCATGCATTTTATAAATCAGGAAACAAGTTTTTGTTTTTGTTGTTTGTTATTTTGTGGTGTTGGATATTGAATCCAGGGCCTCATTCATATTAAATACATGTTCTATCATTGAATCACACTACCAGCCCAGAAATAAAATAGTTTTATTTTTATTTATTTTAAATATTTTATTTATTATTTTTATTTTATGTGTATGCATGTATTGCCTGCATATAGGTAAGTGCACCCGTGTCGTGCAATGCCCGCGAGGGAAGAAGAGGCCGTCGGATCCCCTGGAACTGGAGTTACAGACAGTTGTTAGCTGCCATGTGGGTGGTGGGATTCGAACCCGGGTCTTCTGCAAGAAGGTCAGTGTTCTTAACTGCTGAGCCATCTCTCCAGCCCAATAGTTTTATTTTTAAAGATGGTTGTCTCAATATGCAGCCTAAACAGGCCACTAACTCTGAATTGTCCAGCCCCTTGAAGTCTGAGGTTATAGGAATGTATCACACAGGACATGTTTTTCAAGAGTTCCCACACAAGGTGGGGACAAAACTGATGCAAAAATTCATTTTCCTTTCATGTATTAACGTTATTATTTACTTGATTCGAAGTTAGAGAATAGTTTTGTTTTACAGAGCAGGACAGGGAGGTGATCAAAATTCAACATGTCCACAGTGACAGTATTTGTAAATGAATAATAGGATTTTGACTCAAATCCGACTAACTCCAAAGTCTTTGATTTTAAAAAAGAAAAAAAAACCAGACTCTGATATGCTAGAGACTGTGGAGGATAAACACGGCACCCAAAGCCTGGTCTTTATTTCTGGACCACGTTACAGTATTGGGGCTGTACTGGACATGGATAAAATATAAGACATGGTGTTTAGTTTTACGGAGCAATGGTGGCTAGAGGTGATGAATTTCAAAAAGTCAGGTTCTTCAGAACTGTGATTATGGTAGTCGTACACCAGCACAGGACTTGCCTAAGTCCCGAACCACTCACCTTCAAACACACAGCAGTAGCAAAACAGGGAAATACGAGGAAAACTGCACAGACGTCTTTACTACATTCCACACAAACCCCAAGAACAAAGCTCCAACACACAGAAACACACAAACATGAACCCACACATATGCACACACACAAATACACACAAACTTATATACATACACACACGGAAACACACACAGACACATAGAAACATTCACAAAGATACACACAAACACACATATGCACACACAGAAATACACACAAACATGTACATACACACACAGAAACACACATAGGCACATAGAAACACAAACACATAAACACACATATGTATACACTCAAATACACACAAACTTATGCACATACACACTCACACAGAAACAGAGAAACACACACACAAACACATAAACACAGAGAACCATACATGCATAATACATACAAACACACACAGAAACACAAACACATATACATACAGAAACAGAAACACACAAACATATAACACACAGAAACACACATGTACATATATAACCACAGCATATATACATGCATGTATGCATGTGTATACATCCATACACACTCATGCAGAAACACATGTATTCACATACATGCACGCACAGTTGTACACACAAACATGAGCACAGAAATACACACATACAAACAACATACATACATAAACACAGAAACACACACACACGTGCACACACCATCCATGATCCCTCAGAGGACAAACCTGTTGTAAATTATGTGTCCACAAACCTTACTTGATAGGTCAGGATAACAGACTTACCTTCATGTGTTTAGACCTTGAGTGTCAAGATGATCTGTTGATCCCTCTCTCTGGATTCTCTGGGTTTGGAATCATGGGGCGGGGGCAGGGGGAGATTAACAAAGGACCCAGTTGTTTAACTGTATTGATTTCTGGAGTGAAGGCTTGAGGGCAGAGCTGGGCACCTCAGGAAGAAGACAGAGGCTGGGTGCCATCTTGCTGGTCAGCAGAGGAAATGATTAGATGACCTGCAAAGATGCTTAAGTTTGTGAAACGTGGGGGCCAAGGCAGCAGTGGAGTCCTGTAAGGGGCACAGATAGGGCAACTCGAGCCAGTTTTCACTAGTTGGTGGCTCCAAACATAACCTTCCGGACACTAAGGGGGGAGCAAGGGAAGGTGCTGACTCGAGGGGAGACAGCGATCGCCATTCCCTGGTCCTAAGAAGAGGGGAGCAGCCTTGGGGAGTCTGTGCCCCACTCCCATGATTAGCTCTTTCCACGGAAGTGTCCAGAGAGGCGGCCCCCGGGGAAGAAGGGCGAATTCTGGAGAGACGATCCCTTCAGGGTGTTGTGTCTGGCAGGGTGTGGAGGCCAGAGGCGGCTTAATTTCCTCTTACTGTCATTTCTACTGACTCATACTTCCCTGTTTCTTTTCTAACCTGCTCATTTGTTGACTGGGTTCACGCTACCTGCTGAACCTCAGCAATTCTGTCGGAGTCCCAGACTTTAGTCTGTTGGAGGCAGAGATTTAAGTCATCCTCAGAGTTTTTATTTTGGAAAACAAACAGAGACTTACTATGTAATACAATCTAGCCTCAAAATCATGATACCCCTGCCTCAGTCTCCCCAAGTGCTGGGATCACTGGCATGTGCCTCGCCCAGTTCAGGGACTGATTCATACCACTGGCTTTTGCCTGCCACCCCTCCCCCTCCTCCCTCCCGGCTCTGTCAACCTCTCCTGAGCCTTTCCGCTCTTCATTCTTGAATATTTTGTTTCTGGCCCACACTCTACTCTTGTCATAAATCTCGGTAACTAATTATTCACATAGGCTACACCTCCACCCTCCTTTCATTTCCTTCCTCCATAATATGGAAAATTATCACGGTCCCTCACCTTCCTCACGTCTTCACATCTCTCTCTATCCAGCACAGATTGCCTCCCACCATCATGATTACTTCTTTGGGGTGGGTGAGATGGCCCAGTGGGTAAAGGTGCTTGCTGCCAAGACTGACAATCTGAGTTTGATCCCTGGGACCTGCATGGTGGAGACAACTCAATCCAGCAGAGTTGTCCTCTGACCTCCACACCTGCTCTGAAGAGGTTACATGCATGCCCATAGTCTCCCACAAATAAATACAATAAAAATTACTTCTTTGTAAACCCTTACCCCTGTTTCCACTTTTTAGTATTCTCTTGGTTAAGTTGCTGTCTTGTTTAAATCAAACTCTAATTTGATTGACTATGCATGTTTGGTTGATTATTGTAGGAGAAAAACTCCCACACAGGCCAAGGGTTTCACTTTACATTCATGACCACCAACATTAAAGGACAGAGGCAAAAACCTTCAGATCGCCATATACAAATCTATATGAATGTAGCTATTTCTTCAAGATTGAAAACATTTCCTCATGGAGAGGAACAGGAGGCCCACAAAGTTCATGAAACTCATGAAAGACTCAAAGTTCCCTGAAATTTAAAAGATTCAGCAGTCCCCTCCCAGAGTTCCAGTAAGCAGTAAACAACGCTTGAGGAGAGAACACTCCTTAGTGATGGAGCTGCCTGAAAATTGTGCAGGTGATGCCAGTGAGGCAGCTTGAGTCCTTCGCCAACGCTGGCATGGGCTTTTCTGTGATGCAGCTAGTGGAGTCACCCACCGCCCTGCAAATAACCCTTTAAAGAATTACTGGTCCTTTTCTAGAGTTTCATGACAAAAAATGGGTTCTATCTCTCCCCTGATTTCAGTCTAACCTCCTAACTGATTTTAGAGTGACCCCTTCAGATGGGGGGGCGGATATGACACAGCAGCAGTAAAGCACCAGTAGAGAAAACTAGTTCCTTCTGGTCAAGAGGATGAACTCTCTGGTCTGGGTGAAGACCCAACATTCCGATTGGACAGGTCAATGTCCTGACTAAGGGACCACCCAGGAAGGTGGGTTTGCCTTAAGTCATGCTAAAGAGATGAGTGGGATGATTAACCCTTTAATGAGATAAAGTGCTTTTCTTGCCCAGAATTCTTGCCCCTAGCTCAGTAGCTCACAGGGCCATAGCCACGCCCAGCTCTTCTGAATTACTCAGAAAACCGCAGTCTTCTCTCCTCTTCCTTCTATTCTGAGCATGCCCCCCTTGGTACTTTGTGCTCCCTCACTCTTGCTCGGAAGCTCCTCTCCCTGATGCTTGGTCTGACCATCAAGTGGCTGGCAGTACACGGTATGAATTCCCTCCTGCAGGACAGGTCTCAAATCCAAGTCAGAAAGGCATTGGTTACCCCTACAGCAGTCATGCCTCTATTGCACCAGTGGCACACCCACCTGGCAGGTTGGTTGTATAGCATGTATTGTCCGACACCAGATAAGACTACAGGTCTTTTCCATCAGCCTTCATAGCTCCTCTGGTACTACGAAAGCTAACCAGCAGAGAGGAAGCTTCAAGCTCAGTTCCAGACTGGTCTCTTGATGTCGTTCGACTAAGACATGTAATATTTTTAACAGTAGGGTCTTACCACCTAGTTACAGTGGACAAATAAGAATAATGACAATCGGCTGTATTGTTTTTGGAGGTCTCTGGAGCCTCCCTGACCAATAACTCATAGGCTATCCCATGCCTGGCAGTGAGACTTCAACTTAATTACCCACGTCTTCTGGGAGCCACATTATTCACTCACGTTGAGTTTCTTGAATTGGGAAGGACTTTTAAACAAGAAAGGAAAGAGACTCTCATAGTTTGTCCTATGAGGTTGTGGGACCTGGGGCAGATAGGATCAGTCTGAGTGCTCGGGACCTGGAGAAACTGAATACTGGAAGTACTTGTCAGTCCTTGAGACAAAGGTTGTATAGCCTGAAGCAATGTGGTGGACTGTTCATACAAACCTTCAGGGACACTTGGTCTCCCTGAGGTCCCCAATAATATGAGGAACTGGAAGATAATTAAGAGGCATTACTGCGAGAACTGGGCATGATAGAGGTGGTGTTTGATGTCCAGTGCACTGGGCCAGATAGGACGCTGCTTACAGGATGCTAAAGAAAGGGAACTTAGGACTGATAGGGGGATTTAGTGGTTTTGCTGAGCCCCAGGAATGTCAACCAACCAGCTTTGAGGATGAAGAACTTCAGAAACCCCTTCTCCAGGGGGTGAGCCTTCAGGGGGCAACCTTGCAAGACTCTCCGACACTCCTTGGAGGACATTGAGCTGATCCCCTGCTATCAGTGGCCCTCCTTGGACATCCAGAGCTGAGAGCAGTTTCTTCTGTGGGGTACAACCTCAGCTCCAGCCCTATGCAGTGCCCTGAACATGTGTGCTATGAGCAGCCCCTGTGGTGCCTACAGTGTAGTCAGGATTCAGCACCAGAGTCTACACTGGTGATCGGTCCAGCTGTGGACTGTGTGGCAAGAACTTTTAACCAGAAGGAAAGCATCGTGAGGTACTAGAAGCTGGTCTGGGAGGAGAAGCAGCCTGGAGTTGGGTTGTATCCAGGGTGTTGCCTCAGGGGGATAAGACAAGATAATGAGGGAATGTGATCAAAGTATCTATCATCTATCATCTATCTATCTATCTATCTATCTATCTATCTATCCATCTATCATCATCTATCATCTGTCTATCAATCGTTTATGGCAATCCAACTCACATACAAACTCGCTGCAAAAGTCAGATAATGCTTTAGATCCCCCACCTCCTCTAGAAACCTATAAAAGGAATTCTCTTTGTTTCTTGGGCTGTTCTTTTAGGTGGGATTTAGAACTGAACCTCTGCTGTGCTGGCTAGCATTGTTAAGTTGCCCATTAACCCGAAATACATCTCAGTGCCTATTTTTTATCAAACCTGGAACAGAATCTTTTGCTAATTCAAAACATCTGGGAAATCAGAAAATTAAAACAAAAAGCACTTCCTGTCTTTCATGGGACTCAGGGTAGACTTGAAATGGGAAAGGATGGTGGGGGCAGGGGTGAAGGATGCATGGGAGGAGGAGTGTTGGGTTGGGTTGTAATGGCCTCATCTTCTCAGGGCTAATGTGCTTAATGTGTTTCAGTGAGAGGAGGGGACTGGTTGACAGGGCCTGAGTGAAAAGACCATCTTTCTTTCAGTCCTTCACCGGAAACCAAGCTTTCCATGGTCCCCCCTGGACTTGCTCTCTAAACTTTCCTCAGTGACTTTTCCACTGGAAGAAGACAGCCATAGCTAAACTTGTTAAACTTGGCTGAAGCTTGTGTTTTCTCCTCTATTAACTATTTGGATCAACCTCATTTTCCTGTGCTGTCTTCCAGATGTATTTAAAGTTACTGTTTATAAAAACTTTTGCCCTGACTTTGTAATTTCCCAGACCTTCCCAGAGCCTACCCATTTCTGGGTATAGTCCCCTCTCTCAATTCCTTTCTCAACCCACCTTAGAGCCAGACAGCAATATAGTGGACTTGTACTACCACCATGTGGTCAAACTGTGAAACCACATCTCCTGTAGCCTGGATGGCAGATCCTGAAACCTGCTCTGTGAAGCTTAGGGCAGTAGTTTTCAGATTTTTATCTGGGTCATACCCTCAGAATTCCAGATTCATTTGATAATTTGTATTTCCAGGTTCCCTGGTGCTGCTGTTGATGGTTTCCTGGCAGGTCAATAGTTTTGTGCTCTCAGCCTGTGGTAGACAGGCTCCCACCTCACCCCAAATGAAAGGTGAGCATAGTATTGAAGTCTGTGCAACTATTGTAGAGGTGGCCTGTCCCATTAGAGGGCCATGAGTCAAACCACCTGTCCCTACCCCCACCACCCCTATAGGTCATCTGGAAATCTTAAGAAAGCCTCTGGAAACAAGGAG